CCTTGTGGTCTCTTCCAACTCTATGATTCTATGATTCTATGAATACTTGCCCATAGGGAATAATGGGGAATACTTGCCCGTAAGGAAACATAGGAGAATATTTGCCTATAGGGAAACATTGGCCAAGTATTCTCTTATGTTTCCCTATGGGCAAATACTCTTCTGTGATTTTCTGTGGGCAAGTATGGTTTCCCTATGGGCAAGTACTGTCATTTGTTTTAGTACATCCCGATTTTGTGTTTTAAATAAAGGACCTCTCTGGTCAGAGAAGTGGACTCTTGTTAAGCTCCTGCCTTGAAGTTTGGACTTTAAAAAAAAGTGGAGCGGGAGAAGTTTCGCCCCAAGAGGTGTAGCTATGTGTTTTTGTTGGTGTTTTTTAAAGGGACGAAGAGTGTGAAGGGTGTATGTGTGTGCCATAGGCAGAAATAATCCAGTTCTTGAGACCGCTTTAACTGCCCTGACTCAGTGCTAGGAATCCTGGAAATTGTAGTTTTTTGTGGCACCGGAGACAGAGGAGGATAAATGTTTCACAAAACTGCCCTGGCAGTTAAAGGTCCAAAGCAGACTGCAGGTTTTGATTTTGGTAATATGATTTAACTGGAATTGGCTCTCTAACTTAAGTTGGCTTTAACTTATGGTGACCCCATGAGCTAGAGACCAAAACACACTGGTCCAAAACACACATAGGTCCAAAACACACTGCAGAAATAATCCAGTTTGAGGCCACTTTAGCTGCCCTGGCTCAAGGCTAAGGCATTCTGGGAACTGTTTTTGTGAGGCATTTAGCCTTTCTCTGTCAGAGAGCTCTGGTGCCACAATAAACTACAATTCCCAGGATTCCCTAGCATTGAGCGAGGGCAGTTAAAGCGGTCTCAACCCAGATTATTTCTGCAGTGTGTTTTGGACCAAGTGGTGTCAAATGGGATTATTTCTCCAGTGCGGATGCAGCCTTAAAAATTTAGTACTAGTTGTGATTGTTGTTTGCCTTCAGTGGAAGAAAGTGTTTGTTAGTCCTTATGATGGCACAAAGTCCTTGTTTTCATGCAACAAACACAGTTGCTACCACCATTTCTTGATCCTTTCCAATTGGTATATCTATGTACATGTTATAATAACATGCCATGCATTACATTTACTTTGCAAAGCAAAGGAGTTCCTGATGATCAAAAGCTGCAAGATCTGAGAAAAGGAGCAGGTAACAGGCTCTTCTTTAATTTGCCAGCATAATACCATTTAACTGGAATGAAAGTGGGTTAAAAAAAAGTAGGAATGATGTATTTACATCTGCAGAAGAAAGCTTAATTTTAAATCACCGATTCAACTAAGCTTCTCCTTTTTTTTGAACAATGGTGAAGATTTGATCATTCTAATATGTTATGCACATCTCTGTTGGGTAGTTTAAAATATCTAGAAGGGTACAGTTCATGTATTTAGATGATTATGTTATTTTAGAATACAGTAATACATATTATCTCTGTTAAACTGGATAATACATCAGTAATGATAGGAAGTAAATCACTCATAAAAACTTAATGGCACACAGGCCTAAAATCAGCTGTTGCTCTCAACTAGAGTTGTTGCTGTTGTTGTTGTTGTTTTGTGTCTTCATGTAGTTTCTGACTTATGGCAACCCTAAGGCAACATCTCCTTTAGGGAACCTATCATGGGGTTTTCTTGGCAAGTTTCTTCAGAAGGGGTTTGCCATTGCCATCCTATGGCTGAGATACTGCAACTTGCCCAAGGTCCCCCAGTGGGTTTTGATGCCTGAGCGGGGATTTGAACCCTGGTCTCCAGAGTCATAGCCCAGTGCTCAAACCACTACACCATGCTGTCTCTCTTCAACTAGAGTAAGAATGGCTGAATCAATGGGAGTTTGATTCGTCAACACTTATGCAAGTTAAAGCAATCTAATCAGTTTTCTTTAGGTGGGAGCTACTGGGAAAGGCCAACAAAAAGGCCCTCTCCCTTGTTCCCACCAAAGGAGCCTGAGAAGGTGGTGGGACAGAAAGAGGGGCCTCTCTGAATGATCTTAGAGCTATAATTGGCTCATAAAGGGAGGTGTGTCATTGTTGAGTGCCTCCAAATAACTTTTGACTTATGGCGACCTTAAGATGAACCTATCATGGGGTTTTCTTGGCAAGTTTCTTCATAGGAGGGTTTGCCATGACCATCCCTTGAAAGATTTAGCATAGTGGTTCCCAAACCTGGGCCCTCCAGGGTTTTTGGACTTCAGCTCCAAGAATTCCTGGCTATTGGCTAAGTTGGCTGGGGTTTCTGGCAGTTGAAGTCCAAAACTTCTGGAGGATCAAAGTTTGGAAACCTGTAGCAGGTAACACACACTCTCTTTTTATACAGTGTTGTTGTTGTTGTACGCCTTCTGGTTGTTTCTGACTTAGGGCAACCCTACCAGGGGGTTTTCTACAGGAAGTTCCTAAAAATGTATGCAAAGGGATCTTGTAGCCCCTTTGAGACTTAATGAAAGAAAGAAGCTGGTAGCATGAGCTTTTGCAGACTTGAGTCTACATTGCATGTGAAAAGTAGGCTGAAGTCTACGAAAGCTCAGGCTACCAGCTTCTTTCTTTCAGTTAGTCTCAAAGGGGCTACAAGATCCCTTTGTGTACTGATTTTCCAGACTGACCTGACCATGTCTTTCAATTCTAAAACTCCCCCCCCCATGTATACACTTTTAACACCTAATACAGGTTGATCCTTCCTTATCTGGAATTCCAAAAATTCTCCAAAAAACAAAACTTTTTTCAAAGGTGGCTGAGACAGGGACACCTTTTGCTTTCTGAGGGTTTAATGTACACAAACTTTGTTTCGTGCAATAAATTATTAAAAATAATTGTGTGTAAAATTAGCTTCAGACTGTGTCTATAAGATGTATAGCTAACATAAACGAATTTTGTGTTGAGACTCTGATCTCAAAGATACTCATTATGGTTGTTGTTGCTTGCTTTCAAGTCATTTTTGACATATGGCAAATCATGGGGTTTTCTTTGAAAGTTTCTTCAGAAGAGGTTTGCCATTGCAAACTCAGCGGCTGAGAGAGTGTGACTTGTCCAAGGTTCATGGAGCGGAGAAACCCTTATCTCCAGAGTCATAATCCAACGCTCAAACCACTATACTACGCTGGCTCTCATATCATTTCATGTATGTGTGTGTGTATATGTGTGTTTTTAGATAGATATATATAATATTATTTATATATGTATGCATATGATTTTGGGATATCTGTATTTACATACCTCATTCTGTACATATATGCAAATACAGGAATTCTGAAAACTAAAAAAAATGATAAAAATCCAATGCATCTCTGGTCCCAAGCATTTTTGATTAGGGAGACACAGTGTGTAGTAGCTATAGTGATTATTTGAAGGCTAAGTAAATACATTTATATTAAAGAATGGATGTTGTGATAATGATTTAATCAGTGACAAGTTCCATCTTTCAATTACAATTTTATGTAAGATATTCACATTGTCGGCCCTGCACAGCCATGCACAACATGCATGGTGGAAGCACATTTGCAAACCTCAAAGTTTCTTAGGTAATTTCATGACACTTCTCTACTATTGTAATGCTTAATTCAAGTGAATTTGGTTTTGAGGCATGAACTTTGTTTTTAAAATACCCCCACAAGAAGATGCTGTTAAGGGTGTATGCATATTTTTTTGGGGGGGGGGTGCATCCCGTATATCTTGTAGCATGACTGTTCATGGAGTAGGTGTGCAAAACCTTTGGATCCATACAACTCTTTGTTCATTTTCTTTCAATATACTTAACACTCTGGAATGTCTTTGCTTCCCTTGACAGCTTTGTGATACCTCGAAAACTGACAGAGTTTTTGTGGTGTGACCACCTGATGAAGTGAGACCTAGACCATGAAAACTCATGAGGAAAAATAAAACTGTTAGCCTGCAGAAGTGTGTATTAGTAGTAATGATGATAATTAAGCTCTTTGAGCAACATGAGAGAACTGTGTTTGGAGGTATTATTATAATATGCCTAGTTAGGTACATTAAACTTAAGTAATGGTATTTAAGGCATAAATGCATATAATTCATTGTACAAGTAATGGCTATTTAAAATATAGCATAGCCTGTTTTTTGAACACAAATACAAATGAAAATACTAAAGAAGTTGCCTGTATAGAAATTCATACTGTATTAAAACTGAGGCTGCCTCTACACTGCTGAAATAATCCAGTTTTACACCACTTTAACTGCAGTGGCTCAGTGCTATGGAATTCTGTGATTAGTTTGTTGTGGCTCTAGAGCACCCTGACCAGAGAAGGCTAGATATCTCACATAATTCTGTGGCAGTTAAAGTGGATGATTTCTGTAGTGCAGGTGCAAAAAGTTCCTCCTGAATTTGTACAGAATTCAGATAGAAATTCCTTATTGAGACTTTAAATATAGAAGAAGCTTAAGTATCCACAGAAGGGAGATATGAGTAGGGGAGGGAGAGGTTATAAGGCAGAAGCTTGGCAAAGTGTTTTATAGTGTGCAGGGGGGGAAAAAGAAAATTAGAACTGAATATACTGTCTGAACCTATGGTACTGAGTGGAAAACAATTTGTCTTTGGCATCTAAGAATTGGCAAATGATTTTAGAAGCTGTTAGCCTCTATACTAATGGGTTCCTTAGAGCTCTTTACACTCTTACTGAAGCACAAAGCCTGAAGCTCTTATATGTTGAAAAACTATAATAGAAGTGAATGTCAGTCTTGAACTTGCATTCCAAATCCAGTTTTAGCCTTGAGATGTATTGTTCTCTATTGCCTTTTAATCTTGGTTCATGAAAAAGAGGGCAATACTTATGTTGTATTCAAGAGTACTAAGAGCTCAGATTGTTCACAAAAAACCCAGCAACTTCTCAATGCTTGCTGACTAATAACTTACATCACTTGCTTGTTGAAATGTACATAAAGGAGTCCTAGCACTTTGCACGTTAAAGTGCTCTCTTATAAATGTCATTCACCAGTAACTATATATGCTACAATGTAAGCATAAAGATAAAATCACCAAATAGGTTATATAAAAGTAGGTCATACATATTATGAACATTTTATTTCTGATGCAGAGAGCTGTTTACCTCTGCCAGATTTTAATTTAAGAATGAAGGTCAACTTCAGGCATCCCATACTTGAAGGAGATCTGAAACTTTGTTTCTAGTCATTTTAATGGAATTGGTTGGATAATTCTACAATCCTATGGACAAGTTTAATGTTGGTAAGCTTTTTTCCTAACAACTAGTAGAATAAAAATTCTTTTTTGTGATTGTGGAAGTGTTGAAGGGTTGTGAGAATTGTAGATTGGGAGTATATAATGATGCCACCATATTAGGAGTGTAAGAGAGCCAGTGTGGGCGTTGGACTGCAACTAGAGACCAGGGTTCAAATCCCCACTTGGCCATGGAACCCCACTGGGTGACTTTGGACAAGTCACATTCTCTCAGCCTCAGAGGAAGGCAAAGACAAACTCCTTCTAAAGAAATCTTGCCATGAAAACCCTATGGGGACATCATAAATCAGAGATTACTTGAAGGCACACAGCAACAACAATATTAGCACTGCACTTTTAAACTTATTTGAGCTGTAATTGCTGAGCATTTTTTTTTTAATGTAAGGTCTTCTGTTCCTAAATATCAGTGTTTGTGTGAACCATTACTTTCCAGCTCTGGATTACATTCTGCCAGTACAACTGCACCTTAAAAAGTTGATCCTGTACATTTTTTAAAAACTACCTGACAACTTTACTTTTTTTTGTGGGAAGTTAGATGACTGTCTGTTACAGCTGTAGAAAGTTCTCTTTCTATCTTTTTATTGGCATCCCCAAAATACAGTGTTTATAATAACTGCAATAACATTCTGCCCATTCTGATAATCCCACCCCCCTTGCAGTCATTGAGGGCTTTTCTCCATCACATGTCTTCTGTTAGTGAATATGTTACCATTCTGCTTTATAAAAGGCTTTGATGTTTTGTTACAATTAATTTGATGTCATTCATGTTCGGTTTTAGGGACAGATCTGTGATTACCATCTAAATTTCTTAGCAACTGTTATTTCTCCTTTTGTAAACAGCAGTATGCTGTAAACACTCTTACCATTGGATAGCTTAACTGTCCCACTCCTGTCTTTATATGGAATTCTCCCACTCCAAAACCCCCCAAAACCAAAACAAAAAAAAACAACAACACACCCACACACATGCATTGCTAGTTTAAGTTAGAGATGTTTCTTTTATAGGTAATTTCAGTGAGACTTTTTTGCTTCTGACAGAAATGTCTGTATAATTTAGACTGCACTTTCATATCTCATACTACTTATGCTGCTCTGCATAATTTCTTATCTTTAGTCTTTTCATTACCCTTTTGTTTTGTGTGCAGCCATGTCTGTCCTCAGCATAGAGTAAACTGAGTTTAGTTTAAAGAGGTTTTTCTAAGGAGTACTGTAGTGCAAAGCTCAAAATAAACTGCTATTTTATTTTATCCCTTTCTCTCTGGTTCTTGGATGGCTTGCGCCTTCACAGTTAGTTATTCCGCTGGGAAATCTAAGCGTGTACAGTATACATCAGGGCAAAGAGAACAGGCATATTGTTCTGGGTTACCATTTTAATGTCAGTTTAGTTTTATATTCTGTATATTCTGTAAAAAAATGTTCATCCATCAGTTCTGTGACTATTGTACCATCAGACATTTAATGCATATGTTTTGGCTCTATTCTGTCACCCTATCTGTGCAACTTACCATATGTGCTGAAAATATCTGCAAAGCAGGATTAGACTTGGGGGAAAGAGGCATGAAAATTGAAGGAAGGAACATCAACAA